TCATGATCATCATCCTTCCTCTTAAAGGCACTCTGACCTTTTTGTATTTTAGCTTATTACGTGCACCTGCCCCCTTTTTAGCCTGTTATTATTTAAGCGTGGTGCTCCCACTATTCCTGGCTCAGCATTGGAAGATGGACGCACGGAAGCCCGCCTACCAGCGGGTCCAGGAGAGACCTGACGGCGTAGGCTTCACCACGGCATCCTGACCATCTGAGTCTGGAGCTCCGAGCGTCTGGCCTCGTTATCTTGTTTTTAACTCTTTGTTCCTGTTCCAGGTCCCGTTCCGGATTTTAACTTTGTGTGTCTCTGATGGTTCTCCCAGTTCTTGGACCTTGGACTGCACCTCGGATTTCCCCCTTGGACTGGTTGGACTGGTTTGCCTCCGCCAATGCCCCCTGAGCACCAGATCACCGTCATCACGCCCCCCTGTCTGTCATCCCATCCTGATCCTCTACGTCTTTTCCCTGTTGTCCTTCTCCAGTTACTCCCGGATTATACCGTCTTCATAGGTTCCTAACTACGTACTTCGCGGGAGCCTGGACCGGCTCCCATAACATTTAAAGATGGCAATTGAATAATGACTGCTATAAATCTTCATCTAGATTGACATTTGGGTGACTGTCTATTATGCCAAGTTGTTACTGTATTTAAAATCAGTCCCACATTACAAAAAAGAACTTCCAACAGGTAATACACGTGCAGAGACAGCATGAGGTACTGCCCTTTCAATGAAAAAGTACTCAGACAAACACATGAAGGTATGCTTGTCTCAATAAAGGAACCTAACTCTGTACACTGACAGCATTGTTGCTAAGGGAGATAGCATGACACAAATTCAAGGTATACTATACCGTAAATAGGGTATATACTGCAGAAAAAAAGAAAAGAAAGGGCTGCTGCTGATGGTTTTGAGTGAAGAGTTGTGAATTTACCCTAATATTACATTCACAGGCACATTGCCAATATACTGTACTAAACAAGATGGCTTGTTTCACTTTTCATTCTTCTTAAACACTAAAATTCCAACCAAGTGCACAACAATTATTGATATAACTAATTATAACTATAGTTACTGATGTAACTACCATAGTAGCCCAGGAGCAAGTCATGTCTAGGTAATGGGTGGATGCCAGTCCATCACAGGGCACACGCACATACTGTACGTACACCAGATCAAGTTGGAGACTTTTGGTATTTTGGAAAATAGAGAGAAAAACAAAACATCTGTAAACCTATGTGAACACAGGGAGAGCACGCAAACTCCACACAGATATAGTCTCAGGACCTGTGAATTCTGAGGCAACAGCACAAACCTTCAAGCCACAGTGCCACCCGTCTTGCATATCTAATATATATATATATTTTAAGTTTTATTGGCAAAAGTTTCACAGTTTTCTTTTTCATTTTTATTTTATTCATGTGGCACTCATTTAGTCTGATATGGACGGTCCACAGTTACTGAAATATTTCTGTGTAAACTGCCTATGAACTGTTTTTTATTTTAAGATTTTTTCAATTCTGTTTTATTGTATTACTTTAGAACAATATTGACATTAAGAGTATAAGTAATTTCTGTTATGACATCAGCAATGTGTACCTAGTCATTCAGGATTACTATACAGTATGTGGATTCTGTAAAACACAAGTGTTTGTACCACATGGCCCATATGTTTTCTTTAAATGATTGAATGAGTGCATTTCCCCAGCCTTTTACGTAAATTCCTAATGACAGCTTTATGGTACTTGAAAGACTGTACAAACACCATAGTGCCTGCATACGTCTGGTTTAAGTAAGTAAAGTAAAATATATATTTTTTCCCTTTAGGCTCTAGGTCATGCTGTCATCACACTGACAAATATTTAAGATGGTACTGCATGCGTCCCATTTATTCTGAATAGTGCTTTATATTGGACAGTGTTTATTTTACTGGAAACTGGATAATGAAATGGATGTTTCAGAAGCGGCTCATTCATCCAACAAATACCCTGCCAGCCCTCTGCTGCAGGTCTTGTCCAGGGGGAAAGAGACCTGAAGAGCCAGCTGTCCTCCCTGACAAATTTATTTTATTCATTTATCATTCTTTGGCCAGCTTAAGAGGCCACACAAAGTGCTCTGATGTAGAACATGATGATATCATTGGTGCAACTCCAATTATCCATATCATCATTTCCTTTGTGGCCTGTGGTCTCTGTTTTGAGTCTCCCTGTGGATAAATCAGACAGAAAACCCCAATGCTGGAAGTGTATATAATTTGTATATAGCTGATACTACACCATGGCAGAACAACAACAACAACAACAACAACAACAACAACAACAACAACAACAACAACAACAACAACAACAACAACAACAATAAATGTTTTTCTTGATTGTGTTGAGTATGTGAGCTTCATGAACAAACTTTATTTTTCTATCTTTACAAAATGCAAATTTTTTTAACTCCTTTCAATTTCAATACTCTGTCCATCCCTGCATAGAAAGTGTTTTTACTCTTTCTGCCTGTCTTGCTGGCTAGCAGTTTTCCATTAATCCATTATCAGCAAGCTGTATTCTGATAAGACTTTGGTAAGCTATCCTGGGCACAAGATAGGATAGAATGTCAGCTGATCAAAGTCCACTCAGACACTCACAGGCAATTTAGAGACACCAATTTGTCTTTGGAAGGCAGGAAGAAAATGGAGCAATCAGAGAAAACCCATGCGAACATGAGGAGAACATGCAAACTCCACAATTCCTAAAATCGAACCCAAGACCACAGCGCCGCACCATGAGGCAGCATGCTTGCCTATTGCATTTTAGCTTAATCAAAAAAACAACATAAAAAAGTAAAACTGCTGACCTGATAAAGACAAACTGGTGGTAGGATTTTTTTCTCATTAACACCTCTCATAATGAGAGCTGAAACCTTATTCCTTATCAATTAATAATTCTGTCTAACACCTAAAATTAGGTTCGTTGGCTGCTATATTTGGGAACCTTAAATAATAGACTTGGACATGATTTGTTCTCAATTCCCATTAATAAAGATCTTTAAAGCAAGCACACAGAAAGTACAACCATTTGTGAATTTGCCTCTGAATGCTACCTTTATCATCTTAACTGATTGAAATTGAAGGCTCTCAGTCTCTGTGCTTGATCTTTTTCCTCCTCATTTGTAATTCAGTTTCAGCTAATTGTTTAGGGATGGGTGCTATTTAACACAAGACAAGAGAGGTCAGCTCACAGAATCTCTTCAAGATAATATACAGTACATGGTCGCTGTTATATTAGTATGGAAATGTTAGTCTCTCTTAAGTAACAGCCTCTCTCAGCCCCTATTCTCTTATTAACCCAACAGACATCACATGGTGGAGCTACCTGTACTGTAGGTATATGCTGCTTTTCACAAGACAAGTGACTGGAGACACACAGGAAAACCAAGCCTTTTATCACATTCTGTTAAACCAAGTGAAAGGTATTGCTGGCACGAAGATGGAATTTATTCCATCAAAACATGGGAATGGGTGTGATGATGAGTAAGGCAACCACCTCACAAATTGACCAACCAGTATTCAAAGAGCAAGAGTGCCATTAATAATCAATCACATACTGTTTGACTGTTAAACTAGGGTATAACAAAACAAACTGAAACTGAACATTTATTGTATAATCCTCCCTTGAGACTTGACTCTTTTCTTGTTAAAACCTCAGGAAACCCTTGTATTGCCAACAATTTCATGTGTCTACACACACAGAGATCATTTAAAGAAAGCCCTAGATGAAAGAGGTTGTTCAGTAGTTCCATTTCCAGCTCAGAGAGCTCCTTTGCAAGAGTGTGCAGCTTTTTTTTATAATGCAGGAAAGGAGAACTACCGTATAAAACTGAGTGTTGAACACTGCTCACAGCTCCGTCACACAGAAGTGGGAGCTCCTGTGACTAAAACAGAGATACTCCTGATGCTTGTTTAAAAATACAGTCACATCAAATAAGCTGTGGGTATGCCACAGGTATTCAGTCTTTTGTTTTGAATTTTCAATGGACAATCACATGATAATTGCATGCTTTGGAAAGTACAGTAGGCACTCTTCACAGCATTCAGTGAAAAGCTTTCAATAACCTAGAATTCCTGCCATCAGGAGAATTACACTTTAAGAACAAGTGCCATTCATTGAAATGAAAGCTGCACAAGTAATAAACATTGCTAACAACAAGACAAAAAACGCCTGTAAGGGTACTTAAAAGCCTTTATGCATATATTCAGATCTACAGAATTCCAAAAAGTTACCATACCATGTTTAGATGCATTAAAAAGGTTTTTCTGTTTTGCAACTTAAAATTAATACAATCCTGATACAAATGCAAAAGACTAATAATATCTGAATAATAAATACAGTGTACAGAGACATGCTAGAATGTGATATTGTACCATTAAAAGCAAAAACTATTTGGGGTTGACTCTATCAAAGCAATGCACTTACATTAATTAACAATAAATATTATTTTTATATATTATAATTCAATTTTTCTACAGTGAGCACAATATTTGTTTAGATTTTTAAATAGCTCATCAATTTATCTATTTTCCTATGAGCTAAATTAACAGAAATAATTTGTTGTATCATACAGTATATCCTTGCCAATGAAGTTTATTTAGAAAGTGCACAATATTTTTCTTGTATTTACAATTAAATGTATACAGCATATTATCATCTAAATCTATCTGACTTGATCCGTAATCTAAAACTTCACAACTGACTTGGTTGCGCACGAAAAACAAAAGGAAATCCAATCTAGAACATTTGCAGTTGTCACACAAGGAGACTGCTGTTTTCAGAATCTTATTTTTAAATTGCCATCCAAAAGAAAAAAAAAAGTCTCTTTTTCAGAAGTCTCCTTCTGTGTTTCTATACAAACCCTTTTCTAAAAGGAATTTAAAAAATGCTTTTTTAAAGGAAGAAAAGTGAGGGACCTTCCAAGAAAACTGATTCAAACCAGCTTTGAGCACTTCACTCACCTCTTGGAAAGCAGGGGGGAAACCTCCTTTGGTCAATTGCTCCCCTGTTGCTTAACATTTCACTCTTCTGCAGTTACAGCCAAATACACAGCTCGCCATCCTGCCTTCCTTGACTGAGGACAGCAGAATTCAGCAAGAGGACAGGCTTGAAATCAGCACCAGCTCCCGCAAGGAGAAGAAAACGCACTCCTCTCTCTTCTGCACGGTATCCCAGCAGTTACAGTACAGAGAGAGAGAAGCAGAGAGAGATAAAGACCGTGTGCGTGTGTGTGTGTGAGAGAGAGAGGTGGTCTCCGTGGCTGTGTGCACTGTGTTAGTAGATGTTGTGTGTGTGTGTGTTTGTGTGAGAGAGAGTTCGCGAGTGGGTGAGCGTGTGTTCCTTTCTCCTGCTGCCTGGCAGAAATCCAGGAGCAGAAGCCACAAGGTCAAGAACTGCAGCACTAATAAGAGATGTTCTTTTTTTCTGTAGATGCGGAGAGCAAACGAGCATCTGAGCAATGAGCCTGTCTCTTTAAGGCAGCCTGGTACACCCCTTCACAGCATCCCCCCACCCCCTTCTGCAGGTCAGGCACAGGTGACTTAATTAGATGTCATGTCATAAGCACTATTACAAAATGGATGACAACCTTATTATTTGTGTCTGAGGTCCCCAAAGGATCCGAGACAAATACAAGCTAAAATGTTTTACTTTTCCTCTCCAATTCATTTCAGACCCCAGCAGGCCACATAAGGACATTTCACATGCAATTCACTATGTGAGTTATCACAAGCGGTGAAGTGATACAACTGAGGCTCTGTACGATATCTAAGTGGTGATGTTACACAGTATACATGTAAAACGGACTTTTAATAAAATTTTGTTTGACAGTGATTTTTATCATAACAGACAGCATTTAGCAAACCTCAAGGAGCTACTTTCAGATAAATTCAAGACGGTTTTAATTTCTTGTTGAAGACGATACTCTGGCTTTTTTCAAGGAACTGCTGGAAATCGTATCCTTCAATCAATTAGCTACTTACTGCCAAAATGGATAGATGAGCTAAATGGGTTCCACTCCTTTGTCGCTGTGCTTGTGCTTTTAATTTTATAATGAATTATGTTCTTATTTTTATGTACCTATAGGAAAAGGTCTGCCTATCTATCTCATGCCCATACCAAATAAATTATGATAACAATATATTTTGAAATTTCCTTTCCTAAAACAAATGTTTCCACAATCAAAGGTGAAGCAGGTGAAAATACTGTGCTTCTAGAGCAGTGCTGTTAAGGACTTTAACACCCTTTAATGAAAATAATTACCAAGCAATACATTTAATAAAAGAAAGGATTTGTGCCATTCTTGCCAGTGTAGAGTGTGACAGCGTATGCATACAGTACCTTCTTACTGAAAGGATTTAAGAACATATATGAGACTTCTCCTTTTGATATGACAAGTAGTGTATTTGCAAATGCTGTATTAATGCTAATGTCCAGTTTGAGTAGTTGATACCAAAACAGATTTGCTAAAGAAACCTGAGCCAGTCACAGAAATAAACTGTAACTCAGAAGTACAGTATTAATAAATACTAAACTAAAGCCTCCTAGAACTCAATATGTACATAAATTCAGCATGTCTGTGTAAATAACTACTCAAAAGTAAGACGTAAGAATTTATTTCTGCTTAGAGCATTCAATAATGCAATTGGATGATTTATTAGCAGCAAGTGGAGCTGTCAATATGGAGAAAAATATTGACAATGATACAGTAGCGTACGTCTGTTTGTTATAACACTATAGTGAAAAACATGAGATGCAAAGCCTACGAATGGGCAAAGGGAAATTTCAGAGGACGAAGTTTTTTTTTTATTTTCATTCCATCCACTCAAAAGAATACTTCCAATGCAACAATTTCTGTTTTGCATTACTGGTTAATTCTTACAGGGCTATTTTTATACAAAATGCATTGAAAAGGAAGTAAAGGTTTTCAAACAAATAATTACAAATAAATGGAACCCAGATAGGTAATAATATTTTAAACACTTGTGATGCCAGCAGGAGCATGGTCTCTGGTGGGTGGTATCTTTGAAACTCTGCCCTTACTAGGAAGGTCAACCGGGGATGCAGCAATCACCAAGGCGCATAATGCATAAGCCTGGGAGAGATGGCTGGAAAAGGCGGAGAGACAGAGAAAAGAGGACAAGAGAAGGCAAGGGCACCCTGGCCAGATGCAAACTGACACAACCTGGTAATGGTTGGAGGGATGGAGGCGCCAGTGGCTACAGTATATGCCAACAAAGAGTGGACTGGACAGACATGAGGGAAGATGTGGCCAGCCACAAGCTGAGTTAGCTTTGTGCAAGAGGACGAGGACACAAGGGAGGTGCATAAAGGAGCTGAGAGGAGTCTGTGTAAGAAAGGATTCTGGCTGAGATAGTAGGCACTGCCCTATGAGAGACTTTACAGCACCTGAAGTGAAGTTGCTGCACTGCAAGAGAAACTATGGTGTGAATAACCACCACAGACAAGAAAATTCCTTGACAAGGAGCTATTTGTGTTCAGCTGGAAGCAGCTTAACAGCCCAGCTGCACACAGTATATTAGATAGGGACAAGGAGTGTTGCCAGGAGCCCAACAAAGGGTAAGCTTTCTTTTAGTTTTTCTTTTCATAGTAATGGTGTAACTTCACATTGAAAATTGTACAGCTAAACCTTATGGTTTACGTTGGGCTTATGTAACCCTTACAGTTTAAGGTAGCAAAAACATAAACTATAAATAACAATTGTGAAACATCATAGTAAAATAGGTTACTTACAGTACAGTAGGTGTTAGTGTTAAAACATTATTTATATTTTCAACAATGTGGGGAATTCAATAGACAAATAAAATGTTATGATATACTGTGTAGTTGAAAGTGTAGAATTTAAATCAATGTTATGTCATAATTGCATAACACAGTTGTAATAATAATAATTGCTTACACATATAAAACACTTTTCTGGACACTCCACTCAAAGCTCTTTACAGGTAATGGGGACTCCCCTCCACCACCACCAATGTGCAGCATCCACCTAGATGATGCGACGGCAGCCATAGTGCGCCAGAACACTCACCACACATCAGCTATCAGTGGGGAGGGAGCAGATTAATGAAGCCAGTTCATAGAGGGGGATTATTAGGAAGCCATGATCAGTAAGGGCCAATGGGAAATTTGGGCAGGATGCCAGGGTTACACCCCTACTCTTTTTTCAAGAAAGGCTCTGGGATTTTTAATGACCACAGAGAGTCAGGACCTCGGTTTTACGTCTCATCCAAAAGACGGCGCCCGTTTACAGTAAAGCGTCCCCATCACTATACTGGGGCATTAGGACCCACATAGAATGCAGGGTGAGCGCTCCCTGCTGGCCCCACCAACACCTCTTCCAGCAGCAGCCTTAGTTTTTCCCAGGAGGTCTCCCATCCAGGTACTGACCAGGCTCACACCTGCTTAGCTTCAGTGGTTGCTGCAGAGTGATATGTACACTGATATGTACACATACTGTATGTTGTATACATTTTTTTCATCACATTAGAAAAAGAAGAGAACACTTTAATGAGCAACCAGATACATTCCGTTGGTCAAGGAAGTGCTGTACTGTACATTGACAGGATGAAGGAATTGAGCCTTGAACAGAGAGGACTATGAGGGGACATGACACGGGTATTAATAATCCTCAAGGCACTGACAAAGTAAATCTAGGAGATTTCCTTCATTGAGCAATGAAACACAAACCAGAGGACAAGGTTAAACAACGGAGAAGTGCATTTAAAACCAAGAACAGGAGGCACGTCTTTACGCAAAGCATTGTGGGAGTTGTGGGAAGAAGCAACTCAGCCATATTGTTGCAGTTAAAACCCTGACTTCTTTCAAGAAATGTCTGAATGAGCTCCTTGGATCAATTAACTGCAAACTACTAAACAGACTAGAAGGGCTGAATGACCTCCTTTCATCTGAAGCCTTTTTTTTTTTAAATGAAATTTCTGAAGTTCCAGTACAGCCTGTATCTACATTATGAATTATATTTAGATGGAATGGCTGGTGAGGCAGTTAGAACACCCACCTCACAATTCTTGGGTCCTGGGTTTGATTCTGCTCCGAGGCACCATCTGTGTGGGGTTTGTGTATTTTTTATAGCCTTTTCCATGTGCCTAGTGCACATTTCTTACCATAATCCAAAGATAAACTTTCTAGGATTGATTGGCTGTGCTAAAAGTGTCTGCCCAGGGTTTGGCCTTATTCCCTTCAACCAGATGAATATGGCTTGTACTTCTGTGCCACCTTTGCCACACAAGATAATAGAATAGAGCACCTGGATGCTCTGAGAATTACAGTAAGCTTTCCTTCTGTTCTGTACCTCAGAAGAAACAGACATTTTCGGCTACTTGTTGGCCGAGCTTTCACCAGCTTCTTTTCCCTCTGGCATTCTTATTTGGCAATCTATAACGTTATGACTTTATTCCAACATGGCTGGGCAGCAACACTATTGACATTGGCACAACATGGTCCATACACAGTGGAATTCCACTTTTGACACCAAACTAATAATTGGACTACATTGTTTGATTACAGATGACAGTGCTTTTCTATGATTTTACAGACCAGAAATGAAGAACTGGCAATCATACTGTTTGGGCATAACCAACTGTATGCAGCCAAAAGCACTGGCAGCCATTCACTGTTCTGCTCGTCCTTAAAGAAAGGCACAGCAAATCTTCTAGCTGTGCTTCGGACATAAAACTAAATGCTTTGATCTCAAGTCTTCTCTATTGATGGGTTTAGCATTCACAGTTTTGGGGCTCACACCAAAAGGAAAGCCTGTTCACAGCTCAGTGTGTCTATGGTTGGCTCCTTTGCAAAGAGAATTGCTGTGGGAAGGGCAAGTTGTGAATGTGTCAGCAGCTGTCAGGGAGCCAGCTGAACCCAGTGTGCTGACAGTTGCTGCCCCCAAGGAGGCTTGTGGCTATAGTAGACCTGCCTGTCTCTTAGGGAAACACTCTTAAAGCAGTAGCAGTGGAAAGCAAGATATTTTTCCATTAGAACCACAGCACAACATCATTAGATCATTGCCAGCAGCCATATCACCCTGCAACTCAAAACTGGCAGCCCACTAAAGCTAAGCAGGTGTGATCCTGGTCAGTACCTGGATTGGAGACCTCCTGGGAAAAACTAAGATTGCTGCTGGAAGAGGTGTTAGTGGGGCCAGCAGGGGGTGCTCCCCCTGCAGTCTGTGTGGGTCCTAATGCCCCAGTTTATTGACGGGGACACTATACTGTAAACAGGCGCCGTCTTTTAGATGAGACGTAAAACCGAGGTCTTGACTCCCTGTGGTCATTACAAATCCCAGGGCGTTTCTTAAAAAGAGTAGGGGTGTAACCCCGGCGTCCTTGCCAAATTTCCCATTGGCCCTTACCAATCATGGCTTCCTAATAATCCCCATCTATGAATTGGTTTCATTACTCTGC